TGGCAGGATTTCTATAAAGAAAATATTCAAAACCCTCAAATCAAGAAAAATAAAAATCGGCTAGAATATTTCAGTGGATTCAACACTACCAGCTCTGTTGCATGTAGAAAATATGAACACATTCAAACGGGATACTGCAATATACTTGTACATTTGAAGAAAGGCTCATTCATCGTTATATTCAGTTTTTATACGCCCATCGAAGACGAGACATTTTACGATTTAGTCCATTTGGTAGAGCTCTCTTGTCTCGCCAATACATTCTAATTTGTTCAAGATAATTTACCAAAATTTAATAACCATCACCACTAGACGGAGTGCCATGCACATTTTTCATCACACCGCTGTCAAGGTCACAAATCAAGGCCAAATTTGAAACAAGGTCTTTGCTTGTCCGAGCTACAACGTCTGACCCACTCAAGATATATCAGTGTTTCCACTACCATTATACAAGCGGGGGTGCACTGCCCTGTTAACAGAACAGAGTTCCCCACCTACCGAACTGAACTGTGCATACCCCCCCTCCCCACACACACACCTGTCGGCACTGGTGTAACGCTAAGCTAGCAGGGCGCAATACAGGCGCACTAGATAAAACGCTAAAGGCAGCGCGAGCTGCCTCTTCCTTCATGCTGGTCTGATGTGTAGACTGCAGGGCCAGCGCTCCCTGTTTTTTTTTTTCTTTTTTAGAACTTTTTATTAACAACATATAAACACAGAACAGTGTTTCCCCTAGTTAGCTTGCCATGGTGGGGCGCTCATCTCATCCATGATTTTTGCTGATGGGGGGTGGGGGGGGGGGGGGGGGAGCCATGTCTGAGTGCAGCTTGTACTAACAGTTTTTGAGCGGGGGTGGGGGGTGTTCAACATGAGGAAAGAGGCAATGTGAGTGCTGCCTTTGTTTTTTTTTAACTAGAGCCTGTATTTTGCGCCACTAGCTTAGTGATATGTCAGTGCCGGGTGGGGGTGGGAGGGACAAGTTCAGTTTGGTAGGCGGGGTGCTCAGTTCTGTTGATGGGGTGGGGCACCACACCTGTATAATGGCAGGGGAAACACTGCAGAACATTGCTGGGGCTGCCAGCTCTTTTTTTTTTTTGCGACCTGTCAATCAGTCCAGTAGGCATGTCAGCAAATGACCAATCGGCAACCTCAAATTGTCCCAAAGGTAAATGCCCCATGTCTGCGGAGTTGACTGCAGCCGTTCAGGGTGGACACTTGAGTATGTAGTCTTAACCCTTTGTGGACAGTGCACACAGTTTTCGCGCGACTGACGGGACGCGCGAGTATATTGGAGCCTTAACTGTGTCCCCCCCCCCCCAATCAAGAAAAATCATTGAGATGAGCGCCCTGCGTAGGTAATACCACTATAATACCTATAAGCGTAGGTCCCAGGTCCCGTGTACTTTATTACTACATATACTTATTTGCAGCAGTAACACACAAATAAATTATTTTTAAAAAATCCTACATTGTGATTTTCTGATTAAAAAAAAAATTGAGATTATGTCTCTCACAGTGGACATGCACCTAAGATGAAAATTCCAGACCCCTCCATGATTTCTAAGTGGTAGAACTTGCAAAGTTGCAGGGTGTTCAAATACTTATGTTCCTCACTGTATAAACTGAATTGAATTGAATTTTATAGAAATTATTTGATGGACAACGACGATCATGGAAATCTAACCAACGGCTTCTCTTCTGTATTTGCAACGAGTATACCTTTAGATTAGGCATTTGTTCTGTGATACAGTATCAGTCAAGTACCTTTGTATTTTTTGTTGTGTTGCTAATCCAAGCAATAAAACAAAATGTATTAGAAGCCACTGAAATGCCCTAAAATTACACAGAAGTGTTTAGGCAGACATTAAACCTGCAAACTGAATTATAACTGGAAGGTTTAAAAGTTTATTAAAATACTGCTGAATTTGTTTAATAAAATAAATAAATAATAATAAGTAATAAAGTATTAAACATTTTATTATTAGAGGAAATATAAAAATAAGTTTTTCCAAATTATATTGTCTATATAAAACTTAATTCTTTTTAAAGAAACTGCCAAGTATAACTGATTTTGTCAGCAATTAACTTGATTTTTAATTTTTGTATAAGTCAAGAGATTCACATAACTTACAAACATTAAAGGGTTTAGTAAAACTCGTAAAACCTGACAAATTATATTTTTTGTTGGCACTTGCGCTTGATACTTCTGTAGTTGAAAAATATTACAGTGCCAGTATTTAAGGTCGTGGCTCTTAAAATTAGACTGGTTAGGGATGGAGTTGTTTTTTGGCAAAACAACAATGGCATATTTGGATTTTGTTGCCAAGCAGTGCAACAGATTTTGTGATATCTTTCTTTTGGCAGCTTGTTGCAGTTCGTTATCTTGTTAAATATTTTGGCAGTCTTGTCGTGTTACTGTGTATTTTCTTTTGAAGTCCCTAACACACTTCCTGTGTCTTTGTGTGCTAAAATCTTGGTGATGTTTGCTGCCTCCTGTGTTTCATACATGCTCTTGTCTGTTTCACTCTCAGCCTTTTCTTTTTTGTCGTCATTACATTAGCATAACGCTTCCCTTTCCTTCTTCCAGAGTGACTGCAGTGTTGTCTCTTGGACCTTCCTCTGTACAGCACTGAGCTCTTGCCTTCAAGTCTTGCTGCAGTTCTGACAGGTGCAGGTGACAGAGTGCATGAGTTAGTTATATTTGAACAAAAGGCATACACAGTCTGATTATAATTCCTGAATTTGGGTCAGTAGGAGGGAGGCTTTTCTCATGATTGAGAACACTAAGTCTCTCTGTAAGCTGCGTGTTGTTTGTTCAAGGCCTCAAAGCCTGCGTTTGTGGTATAAAGTTAGAATCTGGTACCAAAAGATGAGATGGGACAGAAATGATTGCCTTTTAGTATTTTTGACTGTGGGTTTAAAACGTCTGCCATTTTGACAGAAATTATTTCTATGTATTCTGCTGGTCATGTTTAAAGAAAATGATTTCAACCAGAACGGTCAATTGTCTTTCTTATCTTTAAGTTTTTCACTGAGTTCATCTTCATGATTTTCCTGTTGGATATTCTTTTAGCCATAAATATAAAGAACGTGAATTCTGAATTGAAGCACAGACTTTAAACTAACAGAATTTACTTGGTTTGTAAATCAATTTTTAAAAAGTGATTTGTCTAGACAGCCGAAAGTTTAGTTTAGAAGTCAGGGTTTTACCAAATAACCATTTTGGTGTGAACATACAATGTGGTTTCTTATTGCCTTGCTGAAATAAGTAATCTAGACGTTGTATCTGTAATAGGATGTCTGGAGTACAGCGTTGCTCCTAAACATGTTGTGATTGTTGAAAATTATTGGTACACTCACAAAATGCATGTTTGACTTTAATGCAGCCCTGCAGCATCACCGTTGATGACTTATAACCAGTTTGTTTGGAAACCTGTTCGAAACAAAAATTCATAAACCTAGGTAGGTGTGGGCGATATGGAAAAAAATATTTCACACTATTGTCAGGATTCTATCATAGTTTTTACATTAATTCTTTAGCTACTGATTATAGTTTTCACTGTTTTGTAAATTGGCCAACCAAACAATTTTTAATGGAAAAATATAGCTCGATAAGGAGAAATGATCATTGTTCTTATAAATGCACAAAGGAAGTTCAGTCACGATCAACTTGGGTAGCAGATGTGGACAGTGTGCCAGACACAATGGTGCCATCCTGGAGCTTCAATAAATACAAAACATTTAGACCAGATAACATTTTTGCACAGATTTTATTCACTTTGCATAATATTCCAGCTTGTGTCGAGTACAATGGAGATTTAACATAATGCCTATAACGGAAAGCACACTCTGTCTCAGACTGTTTTGCCCACATCAAATATTTTGTTTTAAACTAAAAATTAAACACCTGGGTAAAGTGCACTCTTGATGCGTAAAAGGTAGTTGATGAAGCTAGCCAATCGCTCTGCTCCCCTCACTTGTGTTTCAGTGTATTTAGAGTTTAATAAACATAAGCACAAAATGGAACAAGATATCAATGTGGAAAAGTTTACTTATTTACGTTAGTAGCTAAAATATCTTGTCAGCTCCAAATATAAATTAATGGTTCTCTGCAAAGTCTACCTGTATCCTTTACCATGATTTTAGTATTCCTCCTAAGGTAAAATGCTAAGCAGCTTTTTAGAAGTAGGCACTCAAACTAAACTTGGATGTAAACTTTGACTACTGTTGTAAAATGCAGTGCGATTCACAAGAAAAGCTTTTAAAGTATTATGTCTTAACTGATTGAAAACGGAGCAATTTTTCAATTCCTCATTTTCTATAATTATTAGAATTTCTTTTGAAATGCAGTTACGTCTTTCCACCTCTAGTCTTCTCATGCAAATCCTCTTTATCACATGTTTGTATTAAAATAGTTTGGTTTGCTCTAAAGTCACCTGTTCCCTCTTCTTTCTGTGTTGGGATGATGCTACTGCTGTTTTGAAGTGATTGAAAAAGGTTTATCGTGTTCCATTCAACATGCAAACCTTGTTTGTGTAAACTTTAGAAATGACTGTTGTTTGTGCCTCTCAGTTGGGCAAAAGCCAAGACGGTTCCACATAAGAGCTGGGCTTTTTAGGGACAAACTTCTCCGTTTAGTCTTAATTTTCAGCTTTCTGCTCTAATTTAAATAAGAAATCCACAGTATGGCTTGTACTGTATTTTGTCATGAGTGAATGATCATAATTTCTCTGGGGTGGGAATTAAATGAATTTAAGTTGGAATAAGGTATATTTTTCATTAATAAAACTATTATTTGTGGTACTTTCTTCAACCAAAGGGTATCACATACTCAAATACTGTAATGGTAAGGATAAAAATTGTCCATGTTTTAACATTGAGATGTCTTTCCTAGATAATTTTAGTTTATTAAATATAAACTTTTTTTATCCTATTCTATCCAGTTTGCCAAAGAACATGGTGACTGTGTTTGTGACCTGTGTGTTTTTTGTTGTCTGTAGGTGTGTGGTGCAGTCAGGTGGTGGTGCCTAAGAGGGTGAATGCTGTGCTTGGAAAGAATGTGACTTTGGAGTGCAGGGTGGAGGTTGGCTCAAACCTCACGCTTACTCAAAGTTCCTGGGAGCGCCGTCTACCTTCCGGCTCAGTCGCTGTGGCGGTATACAACCCAGATTTCGGCACTTTCATCCCTCCGGAGTACATCAATCGCTTGCATTTTCGCTCACCCTCCACTCATGATGCCACCATCTTACTGGAGAATGTGGGATTCTCAGACGTGGGGAGCTACACCTGTAAGGTAGCGACATTTCCCCTGGGAAACACTCAAGCGTCCACTACTGTCAATGTCCTTGGTGAGTATGTTTGCATTTTCTGCAGCATCACAAGTTTATTTAAATTAGTCTATGAACTTTAATGAGCAAAGCAGAAACAGGTTGTATAGTATTTAGTTTAATATAATTTTTCAAAGATATTTTTCCCATACCGTAGAACGAAATGGGGGAGTTGGATATACCCTCTGTCCATCCATGAATGTTGTAAGCATGATAACTTGAAAAATAAGTTAGGCACCGAATGTCATTTTGGGGTGTGTCTTCAGAATCTTCAAAAATTAGTCTGCCATGTCAAAATACAAGATGGCCACCCCACTGAAGAAATTTCTAGTTTTTATATTGCTTAAAAGTAGTTTCCTCAAATGATTATTGTGGTCGAAGATTAATCTATGGTAGCCAAGGCCACCACTGGCCACCCCCTGGCTCTGCCTATGTGCCTGGTTGTAGATACAATTGCTCCTACTTGCCATGATCTGTCACTCTGCGCTGCCTTGGACAAGCAAAGAATAAATAAATCTAGCTCTATTCAAAAACGATTGAAACCTCCCAGGGATGGTGGGTATCAGTGTACCGCTCGTTTATTTAGAATGTTTAATATTTGGGGACAAACATGTCAATGTGATGGTTTTCTAGTACCCGTCTATGATGTTTTGGACTTTTCAGTTGGGTCGATCTAAAGTTGCAGGTTTTGATTCATTGTTCAGAGCAAAGAGGCAAGACTTTGTCCAGCTAAAAGATCGATCAAATGTAACCAGGTTTAAATAGTTTTTGTTTTGTTTTGACTGCATATGCTCAAGTTTCAGTATCTGAGTAGCTTCATCTTCTCATTAAAACAAAACTGGTCCATGGTAACACATTTTTGTTGCAGAATTTTGTTATAATTCTGACTGGGATATTGTGTCTTAATACAATCATCTTTTTTTTAATTTTCAGTTATTCATTAATATATTAATTTTTCTGGTTACCTTTTAGAAAGTTTGCAGAGTAAATTGAACTGAAAATATTGTCATGCTTCTTTAAGAACTGCAGAAGACGTTTGATCAGAATGGAGTCTTGATGATGCTAAATGATTGATTGATAGATGAATGATCATTGATAATTACCTGAAGCTGTCTACTTTGACCTTTATGGGGTTTAAACAATTACTAAGTTCAATAGAAAAATCCGAGCAAACATGGTCCTGTTTTTAGTTTAGTATTTTACCTTGTTTTATATGGCACCTTGATTTGATCTTGTTTTATAACACTACTTTTTTATTTTTACTTTATTTGCATTGTATTGTTTGTTGTTTGTACCTTATCTGTGGTTTTGTCTTAAACAGGTCCCTCTTGAAAATGAGTCCTCGTGACTCAATGAGATTAACCTGTATAAATAAAGGTTGAATGAATGATGCTCATGTTTTCCTTTTGCAATAACAGAATTTAATCCGGAAAGGGGAACAAACCTTTTTTTTGTTTGTTCTTTTACGTTTTCCACCATTAGCAGGCCCATTTTTCACATCAAGAGTTTGTTGTGATTAAATGCTTTGTAGCATATAAATAGGTAGCTCATCAGTTTAGTATCCATGCAACACTTGTATTTAAATTTGCAAGTGAAAAGATTTCAACCAGATGGAAGAAATATTTCTCCTGGTAAACTAGGGCAGGACAATAGTTCCATATCGATATATATCACAATATACATTCAGTAACGATGCTATGAGTTTTAAGCACATTTTCAATATTTCAATATATATTACGCTATGATTACAGCGTTTCACTGACATATTTTTTTCTGTTCAGGTTGAAGCAGCTGCTTCAACTGGCGGCTGCTTCAGCCCGAACAGAAAAAGCCGTGACACTTCTATAAGTGTGTGGTGACGTACACGACACACAGAGCTCAAGTCCAGAAGGCGTTAGCTGTAGCAGGCTAGGCTAAGCTCCAACGCGCAGCAAGTTTTCACTTCAAAATGAGTGCCCTTGTCCGTCACAATATGACTGAACAAGCTTTCGCAAGTGAAGAGAAAGCAGATGACATAATTGATAAGAGAGGAAAGACTAATTTGGCAGTGTGGAAGTGGTTCAGCTATCTAAGATCTGATAAACTGAAGGCTTCAGTCAGTGTGCTGCAAAATGTGACGGAGAGTCATTCCAACCAGCGGTGGGAACAAATCTAACTTGTTCCTCTTGACAGAATATGCTGAGAGTCAGAAGCACAAAAGTTTGAGCCAATGTGTCCCTGAAACAACTCCCCCATCTGTATCAAAAGAGAAACCCATGCAGCAAACGCAGATGTTTGCTGCATGGGTTAGGTTATGTTGTTGTTTAAAGTTAAAACTATTAATATTGACAAAATTAAGTTTTATGTTCATTTGACAGTGATTTCAAATTTCTGTGAAGGCTAAATACAAATGAAAGGTGAACATTAATTTATTTGTACAGTTTGTACAATTTTTCTGAGGCTTTTTTATTGTTTATATTGATCAAATTATATTATCAACCGAAATTAAGAAATGTCTCTTGATAAGTTTTGGCCATATCATCCAGCCCTATTAAAAATAATTAAAAACAATAGTGTTATAAAAACAGTAAAATCAAATTTCCATATAAAACAAGGTGAAATACTAAAAATGAGAACATATTTACTCAGATTTTTGTAATGACCTTATCAAGTGTTAAAAATCCTTTAAAGAAATCAAAGCAGACGACTTCAGATCTTAAGGTGTTCCAGGAGCAGAGTAAGAAAAGACGTTTTTGCCGAGTTCAGTTGGCACTAAGGGAATGCAGTTAATGAAGTCCTGAGGATCATATATGATATCTAGAAATCATAAGGTGGTAAATGAAACCAGTTTTGTTTTCTTCGTATATTTTAGTAAACGATTGGACAAAATGTGCTTTGAGTATGTAACTGTATGTTGCATTCAGATTATAAGAAAAAAATACCTGTAATCCAGATCATGTACTTAAAATATGATCAATATTTTGACATTAAAGATTTTACTTTCTGTCCCTGGACATTCTCCATGTTCACATACGTCTACTGATGTTACTGAGTTTCACGAGAATCGACTGCTTTTGAATTTAATGTTTAAGAGCAAATAAAAGGCATAATAAATCGCGTTTAGTCAAGGTCTACGACCAATCCTGAATTATTTGCTCAATTTGTGTTTTCAATTCTGCTGACAGGATTACCCAGTTTCCATTTGAGCCAGAAGTTGCCGGTACACACTCAAAAACCCAGTGTGTGCAACTGCTCAGTCTGTTTTCACAAAGCTGATCATAAGGATGACTAGAGCTTCTAATGATGTGTTGAACTGAAAGCCAGAAAGTGTGAGAATGTTGTCTGTAATGTAGAATAAAGCAGAAATCAAAGCTTTATTTCTTTATATTTCCTTTACATGTTATGCTTGAATGCAGTGGAGCCAAAGGTCTATGTGTCTGCTGGTTCAGCTGCCCTGATCGATGGTGGCAATGAAACTGTGGTGGCCACCTGCATCGCAGAGCGAGCCCGGCCCCCTGCCGACGTGTCCTGGGAGTCCAACCTCTTTGGCCAGTCAGAGGTGCAGCTTTTTGACGACGTCAACGGCACGACCAGCACACAAGTCCGCTACATCTGGCAGCCCACGCGCCACGTCCAGGGCCAAGCACTCACCTGTGTGGTCCGCCACCCAGCTCTGCAGAACGACTTCAGGATCCCCTACGAGCTTAACGTGCAGTGTGGGTACAAGACAGCATAAATGTTAACAGCAGGGCTGAGGGACAGATTTATAATAAGTGATTAGGTTGAGAAACTTTACAGTTTAGCTTTTTAATATTTCTTACAAGTATAGACTTTTTTTTCCTCCGTTTGAAAAATGTTTTTAAAGCTTTCATTAAAAACACTTTATTTCTATAGGGTCAAGTATAAAGCTCTTTGAATGTTTTCATTCGACAGGTTTAATTGTTTTTGGTCTAGTTTGTAATGAAGGAGCAATTTAAAAAAAATTATGTAGTTAGATATTTCAAGGATAAACTGTTTGTAAATAGTTAAATATTCAGATATCTTTTAGTACAACACAACATAACTCAAACTAGCTCTCTACCAGAGTCATTAAATCTATTTTTTATTCATTTATTTAAAATTAAATGTGAAACATTGTTTAGACCAGTCGGAATTAAAAACTTTTGGGTTTAATTGCTTGGTAACATTTGTGTTTTTCTCAACAGTTTATTGCCTTAAATGAGTTAAATGTTTACCGTTCGTTTTCCTCTCTGCAGTTGCTCCTGATATTTCAGTCGTGGGGTATGACGGGGACTGGTACGTGGGCCGAGAAAATGTTCAGATGACGTGCAAAGCCAACGCGAACCCTCCAGCTCATCACTTCAGATGGATCAGGTGTGTGTACCTGCCTTTGTGTATAACGTGTTTGTTGTAATTGGCGCATCAGAGGATGGTGCAGGATCAGAGGTGTTGGACCAGGAGATGTTTGCAGCCATGCGAAACAGAAGATTTGTTTTTGTAAATTATGAAATAAATGGCCTCATTAAGAATTTTTAATGTAAGATTTTAAATTACTTTATAGACGATAAATGCCATGATTTATTTATTTTTTTAACCAATACTTCCTTTGCACCCCCTGGTTTATTCCTGTTTTACTAGTTTCTAGAAAAAACTCAGTCACAGCACACTGAAACTGCAAAGTTATAGCAATATCCATCCATCCATTATCTTTTACCCGCTTCTTCCATTTTGGGTCACGGGGGTCGCCGGTGCCCATGTCCAGCAATCACTGTGCGAGGGGCGGGGTACACCCTGGACAGGTCTCCAGTCCATCACAGGGCCACATAGAGACAAATGAGACAACCAGCCATTCACTCTCTCACTCACACCTAGAGACAATTTAGAGTTACCAATCAGTCTAACATGCATGTTTTTAGTCTGTGGGAGGAAACCGGAGTACCCGGAGAAAACCCACGCATGCACGGAAAGAACATGCAAACCCCACCCAGAAAGGCCCCTGGACTGGGATTTGAATCGGGGACCTGCTCGCTGAGAGGCAGCAGCTCTACCAGTTGTGCCACCGTGCTGCCCGTTATAGCAATATTTCATTTTCAATTGTCCTATGTGCCCTGACATTTGCAGTAAAATTATTTTGACTTGACCATAAAACTTTAAACACGTGTAAAGCACACCGTGCCCTACAACTTTTCAAGAGCTGCGGTGTGAACTGCAGCTCCTCTGCTAGTAGATTTCCTTTAAAAGAGCAGAAATCAACAGATAAGTCTGCAAAAGATGAACTGACAGTAAAATTCTTAATTCGAGCTGTGAAATGTAGCTAACCTCACCATTTGGTTTGATTATAAGTCTTCACCTAATTTGATGCATCAGAATGTACTGTGCCTTTTCTAATGTATGGCCCACTAATACTAAAATCATGATTTAATTATTATTTAAGTGTTTTGCGGACTTAGACATCTTTTTAAGATTTTACCTTCAGTTCCAGTGTCTGAGTGGTGTACCTCGGTGAAATTACTCAAAAGAAAATGTGTAGAGTAGTGTACGCTCAAGTACTTGGGGTGTACCTTTGTCTGTCAAGTCATAAAGTACAGTATATGCAGGTGAAGCTTCTCAGTCATCCAGGTTGCGGTCAATCCAAAAAAAACTACTGGACTGCTATTCTGAAGCTGAAGACTTCCCATCCAGGAGGCTGCATCTATTCAAAAATATATAAAGTATAAATACTTCTAAATGTACCTTCTTGTCCTCTTTCTGCTGTTTGTGTCTCTCAGGCTGGACAGTGAAATGCCTGAAGGGGTGGAAATAAGAAACAGCACTTTGCTCTTCCTGCGTCCGGTCCGACGCAACGACTCGGGCGTTTACAGGTGTGAGGTCGCCAACGACATCAACCTCCGCAGTCGAGACGTGCGCATTCTGATAAAAGGTGAGCGGCGTTTATAGACGGGAACACAGCTGACTCCAGCTGTTTGGTGCATGCGTGCACCTCGTAGAGGGTATCACTGCCTGTGACATTGTCCTTCCAGCTGAAACGTGACACTGTGGACTGACTCACTCATGGTTTTGTGGGTTGGAGCTGATTTGAGATTGTCTTAATGCATGCTGATTAGTTCTGATCAACGGGTCTCCAGATGTTAAACAGGGAGTTCCTGTGTCAAACATCTGTTTGTATTTCTGTCCTGTTAAACCACAGTCCACTGCCTTGGTTCTGTCCTGCTGGCTTGGTGTTTACGTCACATCTCTCTGATGGGAATGATGAGCATGCTCCTCTGGTTTCACAAAATCCTCCTTGCCTGTGGAAACTCTCTTCCTGAATGAAGTTGTGATTATTATGGGATTTCTTTCCCCCTTTTCATGTTCCTCCTTTTTGTGCGTCTTTTATTCCTGCATGTGTCATGCGGTAAGAGGCGAAAGCCTGCAGCCTCACTGTGAGATGATGTCCCAGATTCATGAAACATTAACTAGTCCTTTTCAACTCCTATTTATTATTTATCATCCATATTTCATTTTCCTTTGAGAGGGCCTGTATGTGTGTGCGTGCGCGCGCACAAGTCTGCTCATGTTGGTGTTCTCTTTGTTGCATGTGGTGTTGTGGGTGTGCTCATGTCAGTTCACTGCCTCGCACGAAGTTGTTCAATTTACACACTTGAAAACAACAAACCTCTGCGTTCATGTTTCAGATCTGACTGTTGAATAGTTGCCTCGCATCTTTAAATGACGGTAAAGTGTCAGAGCAGCCTTTCAGCTCAGATTTGTTTCCATGTCTGTAGCTGCTTCTGATTAAACCTTAATGTTTGTTACACAGAATAAAACAAAATAGGCTAGTTGTTTTACCCATAAAGTATACGCTCTGAATAAAATAAAACAAATATCCAGGTGTAAAAACTGTTGTAGTCCTAAGAAAATCAGGTCTCTTGTAAATGAGTCATCTATGCTCAATGAGACTAACCTGTATAAATAAAGGTTGAACGTATTAAAAAAAAAAAAAAAGAGGAATAAAACATTTAAAGCTTGAAAGTTACTAACTTTTTTATTCCATGTCAAATTCCAGTTATTGTAGTAGTTTTTTTAAAACTTGTATGCAAGATGCATACTCTCTCCTTAGGTTTGGATTTATGTTTGTTCAGTCTTTTAAAATCTTGTTAAAGAAATGTTCTTCCACCTTCGTTCTAACCAATCGTTCGACTGGTCATAAGCTGCCAAAAGTCAGCTGTTTTTCACATAAACATATCTGATGTTCATTTTTATTGCTCAATGACATGAGCTGAGGTTTAAATACCATCTTCAAATGAATCAAGCGGCAGGTTTAAGTCCTGCTTTTTGTGTAAGACCTGTAAAGTTTGACAAATGAAAAAGATTAAATCTTTTAATTCAATGCACATAGCCACAATTACATTACGGATTTTTAAAATCACACCAAGTTCAAGAATCTTTATTATCCTCAAAGGGCAATTTGTTTCACAGTCAGTAGGCACACAAACATCTATTCCAGACAAGACACTGAGACATTAAAATAACTACAGAAATCATTACTGTTCATTGAGAAGCCTGATCACTACAGGGATGAACGAGTTCAGTCTGTCAAACATCTGGGCAGCAGATACCTGCATCCAGATGGAAGCAACCTGAACTCACCATGGTGATCTTTATACTTGCAATTTATTTTAAATGTTAAGTCTTGCAGGGTGGAATGTCCTTTGATGATTCCAATCTTACATTTTGGTGTGTGTGTGTGGGTGTGTGTGTGTGGGGGGGGAGGGTGTTAAGGTGCATCCCAAAAAATTTGAATATTGTGGAAAAAATTCAATGTTTGTCTCTTTCGATAGGCGGGTGCAAAAATTCAGTTTCACTGAATAAATGATCGGTCATCTTCAAGTTTGAGAGCAGGTTGTGTAAACACAAACTGAGAAAAAAACAAAAAGTTTCAGTAATTTGTTTATAAAATATGTAAACTAGCTGTGTTCACTGTGGAAACAGCAGTTTGTTGTTCAAATGGAGACCAAGTGAGGTTTCTGGACCCCGTTTTAAATACCTTGCCCTTTTGTTGTTCAAAAAAATCTAAAAAAAATAAATAAAAAAAAATCAACAAAACGTCTGCAGAGTATTTTTGAACTGGGGATTTATTACAACCATAATTAAATGTCTTTGTACCAGAAATAAATTATTATTATTAACAAACTAATAACTTTTCAAACCTGAGACCTCTGAGCTGATGCACCGTAGTTTAGTTGTTTGTCTTCCTGCCCCTTCTTAGAGAAATGCTGATGTAGCTGTTCATCTTTCTCTCCCTTTCACTCCCCCCCCCCCCCTCCATTAGATCCTCCCACCATGCCTTCCACCATTACCACTCCTGTCCTCTCTGGCTCCACCTTTGTGATTGATAAGGGCCATGTCCTTCTAAGCTCCCCCACCCTTGAAGCCCTTCCTGAAAGTAATCTTGGCACCATAGTGGGCGGGGCTGTGGGCGGGGCCTTGTTCCTGCTTCTGGTTTTGACTCTGGTCGGAGCGTGTTACCTGCGGAAACAACAGACTTTTCATGGCAGCTACTACGCCAAGCAGAACCTGGGCCTCGGCGAGCTCCAGAAGGCACCTGCGCAGCACGAACTCCGTCCCCCCAAAGCAAGCAGCAGCTCTCGCAGCCAGGACCACGACCGAGAGGAGTGGGGCGACCGTGACCGGCGCCACTATAACAACTACAACGGAGAACAGTATCCTGTTAACGGGTACACGAGGGCCATGAGGGAGAGCGGGCGCCTCAACCAGCAGCAGACTCATCTTCAGGAAAACACCCAGGTTCCTGGTCAACAAGCCACAAGTACCAGATACGCTCATTCACCTAAACCACAGAGAAACGGCGCCCCCTACCGGTCGGATGACTGCTACAATAGCAGGGCGGAGGGTGATTTTGTGTCTCATACTGATGGCTCAGTCATCTCACGTAGAGAGTGGTACGTTTGACAAGCTGCGTGGTTCTGCAGAAGCAGAAAAACAACAAAGCTTTGTTAATCAAACTAGAAAAAAAGAACACCTTATTACTTTTTTTACACGCACACACCTTTACTAGACTGTAGCTGCTTTGTGTAGTTCAAGTGTTCAGGCTGACACTTGAAACAGGAGGCTTGTGTTTTTGATGGGGACAAAGAGGAAACTGTTCTTCTAGTTCTTGACTGCATATCTGGACCTGTTGGTACTTTGTGAGTTGCTGCCTTACGATTTGGACAACCACAGTTAATTTAGCATTTATGTATTTTCTGCTGAAGTCCTGCAGGCTGTCGAATATGACGTGGCTGTCTTTGAAAAGTGTTACCTCATACAGAATCAGTGTTATTTTCTTATACGAACAAATAATGGATCATTTCACGTCCGCTCATCAGACCCTGTTTAAAGACTTCTTTCTTAAATTCATCTGAGATGATTGATCTCTGACTTTGTGAATGTTTCAAAATTGAGCGAAGTTGATCCTTAAAGCTCCATTTGATGCTGTCTACCAGTTCAGTTTAAGCCTCAATCTTTATTTTCCCACTGAGTCAATACTCATGAAATCCTAAAGCATCAGTTCAGATCTTTTTTTGAAGGTAGGGTTCAGTGCAGTTATGAATAAATATCTTACCTGTTAAAGATAACTAAACAACTTCAGTTTGGAGAAATGGTTTAATTCTGTCTGGGTTGACGTGCTAATTACTAGTCTGATCGCAGCCATTATCAAAATGGGTTGCTGTTCTCTTAAAACCAAATCCCATTAAATCATCTAAACATTCTTATAAACTTCTACCAGTCTGTCAATTGTCTGTTGCCCAGATAGTTATAGTGAATTATATGTCCTTCGTAGCAGCAGCAAGCTATAGCACTTTGGTGTATTCTAGGACATTTCCAGAAAGAAAATCAATTCCATAATTTACAGCAAAGTAAAGTTTTCTAAAATAACGTTCACAGGAACTGCTTGACTGGAGTTGTCTCAAGATGGCAGCGATCCACTTTGGTTTTGCTCCAACTAGCCATTCAGCTCTTCAGTCCACTCAAAAACAAACCATTTCTCCAAACTGGAGTTGTTCAAAGAGCTGTTTATAACAGGTAAGATAGTGACTGTTCACAACCTCTCCACAGGACCACACTTTAAAAGATCTGCCTTTAAGGACCGTTTGCAGCAAAGCATTTGTTTTAATGTTTAATCAAGTTTACAAAATTATGTTAAAAGCATTAAATTTAAATCAAAACACTATAAAATGTTTAAGTAAAATAAGTTTATTTATTTTAGTCAGAAGTTCAAGTTTAGTACATTTTTCAGCTGATATAGAAAAATAAAGCATTACAGACCAAACTGAAACTTTTCATAGTTGAGGTTTAGATTACTGTAGGATTATAATCTCAGCTCCTTAATCTGACATGAACACTGAGGGTGGGTTGAGTTGATGTGAAATGAGCCCAGCTTGTTTTCAAAAACGTCAAAACTTTTTCTCTTCAGTCATGTCAAACCATAAAACCTTGACGGGAGGAAAATTAAACTGTTTGGTTCTTTTAATTTATAGCCGCACAGCCGAGCCATAACAGACTCTGTAACAAATCCAGGCCCGTTGATGACTGATGGTCTGCGCACACTCGTGGTCGTACAACCGACGGCACCGCTTCCTTGATGGATGACTGACTCATCAGACTAATTTGTTTTCAACAAAGCCTCTGCTCTTGTTCAAAATCACAATGCACGGGTGTTTGAGAGCTTGACCACTGTGTGTCCCGGTGAAGAAATGTGAACTTTTCTCCTGCTTGTCCTCACTTTGTGTTTTCCCTCCAGTAGAGAGGGGCGGTTAGAGCAGGATTTACAGCTTCGAGCCTTAATATGCAGGAAATGACGCAAACATATCTTGAGTTTTGGTAGCAGGCAAATATCTACTTTAACATTTTGGAAGGAGTGGTTGGTTATCGTCATGAGTTTGGTTCAAACTGTCATTTTTGTCATAAAGTACTGCCTCTGTTTAGGGATGTTAACCTGGATATTGAAGAGTGCCGTCAGCGGCGTGGTGTTTGAAAGAAACAAGCATTTTGTTGCACTCTTTCCAGCCTTCAACCACTGAAGATCTCCGTTAGTCGCAGATTCTGAAGCGCTTTTTTTCAGCTAAACATGCAATTATGTTACAGCAAAAATGAAGAAAATCTAAATTAGGAAGGCACATTTATTTTTCTCACCTGTGATTGTCAGCACTTTTAACTCCTCCGCAGCTCAGACGTGACAAAACATTCTGCTGCACTCTTTGAAAACCTAAAACCAACAAAAAAAAACATGTTTACCGAACCCGTTTCAGGCTGGATTTAATATGTATTCCTTTTTGTAACCAGCCATATTCTGTTGCCAGTCGATACTCCGTAACCAGGGGTGTGCAGTTCTGGTCCTCGAGGGCCACCATTCTGCAGGTTCCTCTGCTCGACACACCTGAACTGAATCAATAGGTGATAAACAAGTTTCTGCTGAACATGTAGAGATTCAACCACTGAAGCAGGCATGTAACAAGTGGAACATGCAGGATAGTGGCCTTCAGGGACCAACATTGGACACCACTGTTCTAAACATGGCAGGATGTATCAAGTACTGTATCTAAACCTAGAAGAAAATGTTATTTTGTGTGTACCAGTCAGTGTTTGGGGGCTGTAGAGCTCTAACAGTCCTCACGTGCAGCACTGACAAAGCTATCATGGATGTAAAGTTTTGTACACGGATCAAATGGGACGTATTCTGGCACCGCACGAAGGAGACGTTTATTTGTGTACACAGATTGTGAATACAACTTTTAGTAGAATGGTCCGATTTATGACCTTTGCAGCCAGTTGCCAAATGTCTGTTTAACTTGTATTTATTTAGCAGTAGGACAAAAGTGTGTACACTATTACAGAGAGATCATGAGTTAAGTATTACCGTTGTGTACAGGGTAGAAAAATATGCTTTAACATTGTTAAAAACTGAACTGTTTATCGTCCGGTTGTGAATCTTGTGCAGTGAATCAAAGCTGCAAATGTAATGAGATTTAATGGAAAGCCATTTCAACTAGCAGCAGAGAATTCAACCACCCCCCGCCAGAGCTTATGGTTTACATAGTTTCAAATACGTGTGCAGTAAAGTAGATTGGGACAAATGATGCATGTTTTCAGGAACTTGGACACAAAATGAATCTGTTTTACATGAATGCGTCTGTTTTTAGTTATTTGAGGGCTGCAGCCAGGAAATGTGTGGATCTGTTTTTGCTTTAATGTGTTTAATGCATTAAAATCTCACTGCACTGCTTTAGGAGAATGGTTGGCTTAAAACAAAAAGTGTGAAAACGGAAACCAGGGCAGTGTCTCTGCAAAAGCTGTTAAATTTAAAACTGTTTTTCCAAGAATTATAAAGAATGTTCTGTCCAGAGTTTTGTTGGACGGAAGTAGAGAACATATATTTGAGTAAAATAATCCACATCTGTCTAGATGTTTCCACGTTGCTTCAGTTTCATTAAATCAAAATGATTTTCTCACATCTAGAAAAATAAAAACCAGGAAGCACGGCCACCTGAACCCTTTTGTTTGCTTCTGTGCACTAAGACGGAAATGTCTCTAATCGATCATGTGTCCTCGCTCGCCTCCTCTTCTTTAAAGCCTCACATTTAGATAAATTAAGTTTTTTGTATTAAAATTCAGCCATTAATACCCTTGCGTGGAGAAATGTCAGTTGACTTAAAACTAGTGCCTTAGATACTTCTTTCTTTGCAGTCTTAGATTTTTGTTGCATCTTCATGCCATATTCTCTTTCCTGAGTATGTTTGCGAACCTCGAGGCATTTAAACCACATTAAGCTCAATCTGTGAATGAATTTTGGGGTAAAACAGAGTTCTGTCTCCGCTTTAAGCACATCTGTCGGGTTCTGGTTCCTGAACGGTTCAGTCTCATATTGTCAGTAAAAGAAGCACCTTGTGTTCTTACTGTTTTGTACATATTGCAAAGAAAAATGTAAGTTTGTGGGGAAAAAAGATATTTATGTTGGTGGCAGCAGTAGAGCATTATTTTGTCAATCTTTTTGAGATACTATTGTTGAATAAAGCACCTTAGCACCTGTGAGTTTCTTAGAATTTATTTTTTTATTTCTCGTCTCTGGAGCTTTCTCAGCTTGCTGATTCTCCGGCTGCTCAGTCTCTGCCTCTTTGTTCATCTATAAATGACATCATCTCCAGCTCCCCAACGCATACTGCTGCATATCACCCCCCACACACACTCACGCTCTCACACACCCACCCCATCTCTAAACTCCAGCGTGCAGATTTGGGACGCTGAACATGATGTAATCCCAAAGCCTTTTCTTTTTTTTTTTTTTCTCACTTTCTCAGTTTTCTCTGATTCCAGCTGGTGATTTGTCCTGTTTGTCTCGTTTGTCCCCTGGTGTGGTCAAAGAGGGGAGACCCAGCAACTCCCGTGTCCTCCTCCATCCCAGTCTGCTCCGTTTCAAGACAGGCCTCCCTGACAGCTCTTCTCCTTCAACCCCCCGCGTCTTTCTACCAGCTGGTAAAATTAAACGCCGAGTGTTTCCGACTGGCCCAAAGTCCCCACTCTCCAGCCCATTGACTGTCCCCATGGCAACAAGCTCATCTGGAGCTGCTGATGGAGGCTGTCTTCATACCTGGTCGCAGAAAGCGGTGGGCCTGTGTGGCGCTGAGGTTAAACCAGACTGCTGTTTTAAAAAAAAATGAAAGGCAGAGCACAAAAAAGAGAATGAAGCTGCTGAGCGTGAAAATGGGCCTATTACTCTGCTGCTTTACAGAGAGGACTCCGGCTGAGGACACAAACGTCCAATGTGACCTTGACATTGTTGGGTCAAGCTGCGGTCCTTGGAACGAGAAAAACAGTCTGGTGCAGATCTTATCGTGGCCACAGCAGTTGTCACTCTGACCTAAAGTAGGACGGGCTCAGTCTGAAAACAAAATGCTGGAGCAGCTCTGTGATGA